TAAGTTTTTGCAAGACTGTATATATGTATGTATGTAAAATAACAATGTGCTTTTAATATGCTTTGTTGAAAGAAAATCTAGTTGCATATTTACATTTCATGTTACTCTCCTGCTGTTCAAATTTAGTATGTTTTTAGTCTGTGTTTAATGCTGAAGTTTTCTTGATGTACAGTACAGAAACTGTCCTGTAATTATTGTATAAATGCTTTTGATATAGAGCTTTTATTTTAACAAATGAGCAGAAATTGCCTTTTGTGTATTTGCTGCACCTTTTAAAAAGACTGTTACATATTAAAATATTGTACATATGAAAGTATTATATACCTCTTGTGTATAAATGTGATAGATCAGACAATTTATTTTTGTGTTTTTTTTTACAAACTATTAATACACTAAAAGTCTTGCTGATGTGATTTAATGTACTTGTAACTTATTTACTTCTGGAGGTTCCATTATATCTTTTTAAACCTTTTTTAATTAAATAAGGTTTAAAAGCAGCTTTTGTAATAAGTTCTTTTTTTAATTTAATTTTTTGAAATAAGAGGGTGGGTTTTTTTTCTTTCTTGACTACCATGGTGCGTTTCTGCCTGGTGTAATTAAACAAGATGTGTGTGCTGCAAAAGTTGTGTGCTGTTTTTCTGCTAGCTAATCTTTGTATATGAGCCTGTGGATCCATTCTTCAGTGAACTAGCAAAGAATGGAAACGTTCCTGCATTGGATTGCCCACTGAATTAAAAAGTTGGACCCAGTGAAAAGTAAAACGTTTGGGTTTAGGGCCGTTAGGCCAATGCAGGATTTATTTTTTGCAGAGGCAGCTGTAAATACCCTTTGTGACATCATGTGCTTCATGATATCAGGCAAATTTTGCATTAATAATTGTCACTTGTGACTGGTGCAATTTATATAATTTGTGTTATTTGAATGAATGACACATCTGACATCATTCGGAAACCACCCCCACTTCCATTCCTGCCTGCAGTTATTTGAATATGTGTGTGATTCCTGGGGCCTTGAACAGGAGTTTGAAGCACTGTTACTGAGAGGCACACTCAGTGTAGATCAGGAAAAATAAGGCAGTGGATTTAAATTGCAAAAAAGCAAATTTCAAGTAGACATCAGGATATTTCCCAACAGTTGAAACATGCTCATATTGTAATAGACAGCCTAGACCTTGTTGGCAGCTTTAAGATATGTGAATTTCTCTGGAATTCTCGCTGGCTAGGGAATTCTGGGAATTGAAGTTCACACATCTTAAAGTTGCTGAGGTTGAGAAACAGTGACCTAGACAGTTGGTAGATTTTTCTTACTAGATGTATTTAAAGAGGCTGTCTAGCCACCAGCTGTGGATGCTGTAGTAGAATCCTGCACAGAATTTTGCTTTATCATTCTTTAGATCTAACTCAGAAGCATAGTTTCATTGTGTCACATTGTGGCTTTCCTAGTTGAACCTCACTAAAACCATTACGTTTAAGCAAAGCAAAGGTTTGTTTATAGATTAGCTTAATATATACAGTAAATCCTTTCCCTTCTTAAGTCATGTATGGCTCTAATAATGCTTTAAGGGTCCCCCTATAGCAGGGGTGTCAAAGTCACATCACATGATGTATTGGGACTCCCCCCTTCGCTAAACTGGGTGTTGCCAGCATGTGACGCATCCTGCCTGCGGGCCGGGACTTTGACAGCCCTACCTAAGCAAAAGCTTATATTGCCATCTTGACTTGTAATTGGGCTGTAACTGAATAATTCACATACGACAGTAATGTCCTTTGTATAAAACATTTATTACTACTATGAGCAAGTTTCACAAAATGACTTAAAACAGATCTAAATAACTTTATAATAATGTCAGACAATATGATGGTGCTACAAAATTATATTCTACTTTTAAAAAGGAGTTAGCATGCTACAGTAATTGCTTGAAAATTGCTCTCCAACTTGGAGTTTGTTTAAGAAGCCTAAATTTCTACCAAAACTAGAGATTCACAAATGAGAGCTGCCTGCTTTAAATGTCCTTCGACATCTTTGCATAAATAATGTTGTGTCTGTTTGCAGCCAGAGAGACTGAAATGCAAGTTGACACCTCAATTTATTAGTATGCATTAAATTTATTAAAATGCCATTAAATAAGGTTAACATAAGCCACCCAATTTCCAGTGTGGACAGCAGGATTCAACACTGCTGTCATGTTTTTACATGGATATTTATTTCACCCATAATCCATATATTAGACTAAATAATTTCCAGGGAGGTGGCAAACCATAACAGCTCCTCAGAGCAATTACAAGAAAGTCCTTTTTATTTGTTGCTCTGCCAAGAAGCTTTCTCTGCATAACCCACATATCATAACACAGCCATTTGCATTACTTTCCATCAGCATCCAGTGCATAATTTTAAAGTGCATTTTTTAAAAAAAGAAACACTCCTCATTTTAGCAATTGGATTTCTGTTTTGCACTACAAACTCTAATCCATTTCAACAATGTCAGGAGTACATTATTTGGAACAATCTTACTGTAATGCCATATCAACCCAATGCTCACCTCATGCCCATTCCATCTTCTAACATTACTTGGTAGATAAAAATTTCATTATACCAATTGCTTTTTGCAACAAAAAATGTTGCTTTGTTATTAAAAAAGAAAGTCTTATATATGCAATTTGGAAAGGACACTCCAGGTCATGCTGAGCCATCTATCCATCATTTAGCGAAATAAAGATAACGTGCTATAGAAGCATCTTTCACGGCAAGATTTGGTGTAGCCTTCAAGAACAGCCTTCAAGAAGACTAAAATTGAAAGATGTGTGGCAAAGACTCTGCAGTCACTAACCCTATTTTTTACCTAGGCTCCTAGGAGCTCCTTTGAGTAACCTGCACCTTCTAGGTTGTGGAAGAAATGGTACTGAAATGGTTTGGTAGTAGATTTCATTGTAATTCATATCTTTAAAGATAAATCATTCCATTTCAAATTCCAACTCTTAAGCCTCACTTTCCTTCTGATAATATAGCTTCTGAAAGAAGCCCTATTATCATTGATTAAAACTTTTATTATACTTGTACACATTATCATGGTGAAAGCCTTCTAATTATACAGTTCCTTGGAAATTTAGGCACTGTTAAAAGGTTTTCCCACAAGCATCACTGCTTTTTTTATTTATGAATCACATCTTATACTGCAGTCCAGTGCAGCACTGTACAATCTGTTGTATACTGAATATATATAAATGGAATATACATCTATTTCATCAAGCTCTTGCCAGCCGTACAATTTTGAAAATCCAAAAATATTCCCTTTGCTCCTCCTTTTCCCTACCGCAGCAAACCCATGAGTTTGTTTATGGGTCTGAAGACACCAGTGCAATTCAGTGTTCTTAAAAAATATAAAATTGAGCTAACTTCTATACAAGCAAGCATTACAATTAGTACTGGCTGAATGAAACAGGAAATTGAGCTAATCACTAAAGCAACACTTGTCACAGGATCACATTTTTCTATCAGCATACCAAAAATAAACTTATAAATATATCTGAATTCTTTATTTAATATGAAAAGGCCTGTTAATTCTTTTAAAAAATTATGCCTGTTGATCATCCATGATCATTCTGCAAGAGACAGAACAGTTCAATTGTCAAACACCTCATTTTCCTCCATTTAAATTTTTATTTTGAGTTTTCTCTAAATGTTCTGGTAAATGATATTAGGATTATGTCAGCAATCCAACTGACACAAAGGGCACAAGAAGTATAGTTGGAAGCCAAGCAACAACAACAACAACAATAATGCTGGATAAAGTAAAGGATTTCCATCTAACTCCTAAAAGAGACACCAGTGCCGATAATAGCTTAGCAATAGGTTTCTTTAAGAAAGGCACTAATTCTTTACTAAGATACTATTTGCTAAAGAAAGATGTGCTGTCATATTACTATTACCCACTTCTAAAATTAGATATCCCATCACACTTCAAAAAAGTATTATAAAGTGGTTGTAAAAAAAAAACCTATAACAATTTTGTTTCTCATGACATGAGAAAATTATAGATTAATTCCTAGTTACTGGCCTTGTTCATTTTAGATATTTCCTTGCCAGGAAATGTGTTTTATCTTACTTCCCGGATACAAATGCACACAACTGACAGAATACGTGAGGGATCCCAAATGGCAAGAAGTAGGTGAAATGACAGAACTCTCTCTGAAGAACTTTTTTCAAGAGGGAAAAAAATAACTTAAAAGTATCGAGATTTCTATTATTAAGATTATGACATTACTTGCATGGGCAATATACTAACTATACCATCAGCATCAAAGAGAACGCTAAGCTGAATTCAAACCAAATTCCACAAAAATTGCTAGTGAAAACATTTTGCTGACTTTCCCCTTCAAACGCATTGACCATTTGAGGGACGCCAAGAACCACTTCAGTATCTAGAGCTGCCTGCCTACCAGATCCCCTGCAGGTGACTGGACATTTGACTCATTAGCAAGAACCCTGACTTTATCTTAATTCCAAGCACTAAATGCTTCAAAAGCAAGTCCTTGCAGAGAACCAGCCTCTTAAACCCATACCATAATAACCAATCCATAGGCAACCCATGGCCTGTGGTTGTCATCCCTTCAGAGAAATTTCCTTACCAGATTTCTCAATGTCTTCAACAATGACAGAGCTTCTAATGCACTGCCTTCACTGGAAAAGCTGGGATACATTCAGAGATGTTTCTGCCTTAAAAACAGCCCATGCTGAACCTGTATAGCACAGTCAAACATCAAGACCAGAAATGTTTTACGACATTTTGTATTACGCCATAAGGTGCTTTAGAATAATGTTTGGGTCATAAAACGTTTTATAAAATGTGTCAAATATCCATTCCACAAGAGTTATGGATCCCAGATTTTGGAGGAATTTCTTAAGTTAGCCAACTTGAAGTACTTTTGAGTTTTGCTTTATGGTACTGTTTTTTCCCAGTTAAAGGTTACTCAGGCTGCAAAACTCTGGATGTCCAGTAGATGGCAGGAAAGAAATACACAATACTGTGACTGCTTATTGTCATCCAGCAACTGTCCCAATGTTTGCAGCTCCAATTTTTGTACATAAGTCTTCATTAATTTACCAGTTTCTCCTGCCTCACAGGTACCAAGAGAAAAATCAATTGCTAAGATGCAAAGATGATGATGAACATAAATGACAATCATGACTGGTCTAGAAACACAATGCCTTATATAGACAGTGCCTTAATTTAAACTGTTAAAAGAAAAAGTTATACATCAAGAACCATCATCATGTATCTGTTCATAAGCTTCCTCAGCTGCGAGCAGTGTAATCCTATGCATGTTTACTCAGAAGTAACCTCTACTGCATCCAAACAGACATTGCCTTATTGTAATCTCTAAGGTCATCGTGAAATCTGGCCCTTTTTTATAGCTCTAAAGTTTCTTAAAGCTTGTCATGATTGCTGAAAATTGATAGCATCATTTCCCATTTGTTGAAATAAGAAAAGATGTCACCTGTACAGTAGCATAAGCCCTAAACCATCTGTTTATTCAGTTCATAGCTGCCTTTCAAATCTAGTACTCTACTCTGTAACCCTAAACATAATTCTGCTCACATGAGAAATATTCCATTCATTTTGCAGCCTCTTCCCCAGTATTCAGCTGGGCTCCTGGCCAACAAAAGATTACCTACACCTGGCCTAATGTGAAGACAACAAGAAAGATACTAATCAGAATATATGAGGAAAAACAATGCCAAGCACTAAACCTAACACATAAACACCTTTCTTAAAAATGATGCATCTACATGGATTGATTAACAGAAACAACTAAGATTAAATATAAATAGAATGAAAGTAAACATCAAATTATCTGAAAGTTTTTTTTTAAAAAAAATCCAATCTGTGGATGTGCAAGAACAATTCCACTGAACCTCAGATGAAAGTTTGTGAAATATTTTAGAGGATTGCTCTTTGAAGTAACCAAGCCTAAAATAGTAAGGAACTCTCCTCTTGAAAAAAAACTGAGCCACAAAATTCTTTCAGAGTAATAACTGTCTTAATACCTCATAAACACATAGATTTGAGACAGAGTAGAACCACAGGGGTAATCAAATTAACCAACTGCTACATTTAAATGATTAGGATAAATCCAAAGGCTAAAGAATAAGTATTCCTGAGCAAAGGCTCAGCGTTTGTGTAAAATAGTGTTTATTCCCATATAACTATGCAGAGTGTTTCAGTGCCATCCCTTTTTTGAATGCCTGTCATCTTTTAACAGAGAAATGGATTGTCAGAGCCAATACTTTTAAGTAGAAAAAAAATAGCAGAGAAAAACTGCCGCAAGCCTTATAAAATTAAATTTTACCTTCAGCAAAATAGTAACACCTTACTTTATTTCTCTCCTTTCCATCTTTAGGAATGACTAAAATATCCAGTCATGTCAGTGAAAAATTTTAGGGATGGAGAAGGCTTTCACAAAGTGAGAAGACTTATAAACTTCTTTACAAAAAAAATAAAAACAAACTGCATTGGAACACATGTCCTATATATCCTACAGCATTATTGCTTTTCTCTTCTTTCTTTCTTGTCATTTCTTCAGCTGTCATTTATCAGTTATTAAAATGTCTTCGTTTTGAATGACTTGTTATGTTTCAGCTTCTTTCGACAGATGCTTTCTCTTCTCAGATTACTCAGATTCCAAAATAATAAAGGACTTTAGCCATTCTGCAACATATAATCACTACAAAACCTTTTCTTAAGAGTTTCATGTTCCTTAAAACAAAGTAGGAAAATTCAGTCAGCATATTAAACCAAAGGAGGAGAGAAATATTTCACTTAGAACAAAAAAACTGCCTTCACTCTTTCATCTAATACTGGATATTAACTCAGGAGAAAAAACAAGAGACACTTGATAAATGTTAAAGCATACCATTATTTGAAGCCTTTCTTTAAAAGAAAGATATTTTTTAAAAAGCCATACCATATAGAACCCATCTGCCATTTCTCAAAAGATTAGAGAAAACTATTTAACACGTGCTTTATAGAAATCTGCTCTTTTAAAAAAAAACCATACACTTGCAAAAAAAAAACAACCCTCCAGGTATTAAATAAAAAGTAAACATTCATAATAAAAAAGTAAGAATTCTTTGGGTGAGAAGAACATGGAGATGAATCAGTTAAAATGTTGCCTAAATTTTCCTTTAAAGACATATTTATACAAAAGCATCACATCCTATATAGTGCTGGAGATACATCAATAATTTAATGTGAAAGAAAAGGTGCTAGTTTTCTCCTTCTTCCGCTTCTTCCTGTTTTATAACTGGGATACCTAAAATAAATAAATAAATACATAAATCACAACAATCATTATTGCATTTTCTTCCATTTTTTCCCTATCACTTCCAGTTCCTTGGCCCTATGCTGTCTGTGAAGTCTCATAACAATATATCATTTTGATAAAGATTGTTAACAAGAATTTAAAGGAATTCTTAGCTAGATTCTGATTTTCTCAAAATTATTACTGAAAAACTAAATTAAAAATTAGCATTAAAATAGTAAAACAAATAACTGCCCAACCCACTTCTTCAATGAATTTATTAATACATCCACCAATTCTCCCATGAAGTTATTTATATCAGCACATATGTTCAGATCAAGACTTAAAGGATACAAGGGGGGAATTATTCCAAAGCCTAAGAGAAAACCAGTTTTTTAACATCAGTGTCTATTGGGAGGTAGTCTTTATTTCCAACATGCTTAATTTAGCTTCTCTCTCTTCTAACACTGATGATATGTTTTTTATTTTGAAAACAAATATTTGGCAGAAATAAAAATCTACAGATTTTCATTTATCTCTACTATAGGTCTTCGCTGAATAATTTGGTTGAAACCAAAAAGGGCAGTAAAAATGTTTATCATAATTTGACTTTTCAAAATACTCAAAATGAACCCTCACAAATGAACTGATCTTTCCGGAGCTTAACTTTTCGTATGAACTTTTGGCTCCGTTATTAATGCTATGTTATTCTTCCTCAGTTCTCACCATCGAGTTTCTTCAGTTTGGGCACTCGCTTGGTTGCCTCCTCAACCCAGGCACTCTGTGAATCAGCAGAGTATTTCTCTTCCAGTGGATTGCCTACAAACACCAGGTCCTCCAGTAACGGCAACTCTGCCAACCTCACAAACTCTGCTGCATCCATAGAGAGACATAATCAGGAAAAAAAATATTAGGAAAGGGAAAAAAATCCCTACTTCAAAACCAAAAGGCATGGGAGCCTGCAGGGAGAGGGAATCATCACATCATCATTGGAATTACAGAGCTTATTTTATCTGCATGATAATATCTTGATGTCTGGCTTAACATGGCTTATACCAAATGCCCATGTCAGAAGGGCAGGGAGATGTTAAAGAGAATAATTCACTTATTGTGCAATATTTCACTACCTCGGATATGAACTTTCCAGGTTTCTAGTTGTGGTTCTCAAACAACTGTGCCATTCAATCGAATACAGAAATTATTTTTTTTATAAAATTAAGATGCGTGTTCATCAATGAGGTAGATAAGGTGCTAATAAGCAATGTTGTACTTCAGTAAAGATCTCTCCTGGCTCCTCACATATCACCTGTTAACAACTTCTTAAAGCAGCTGTGACTTTCCTCAAGATTACCTGGCTACTCTCTACAACTGGAAAAGACATGTTGCTGCTGTTGACAGATACCACTTGCACATCTATGGTCGCTCTAACACACACACACACACACACACACACACACACGTTTCAAAGCAAGTATGGAAATGCAAACAGTACTCTTAAAATTCAAAGCAGTGTACCATCCTAAAAGTTACTATCTGCCCATGAAAGTGTTTGTTCACCTCATCAAAATTGCAGTTCCCAGGTAAATGATCAGAGGTTGCTAGATCAGCTGCGTTTATATAACACAAATATGTCTCATTATCTAGAATATGGTGTTCCAGATTCAGTCCTGCTAACGTAAATAATGTGGTATTTCTTTTCCAATAATTATCAGGTGAAATGGCATATGTGGAGCTGGCTTTGAAGATTATAGAACACACAACTTTCACTTAACAACAAATGGAAGTCCACAGCTGCACTTAAATGTTAATAGATATGTGTATGGCACACATTGTGCTGCTGATACAATTTAATCTTTTTACTCTAAAGTTTATTTATTAAGTAATTTATTAAACAAATTTATATAAGCAGTCCTTCTCATGAGAAATGACTCTGGGTAGTGTACAATAATCAATAGTCAAGTTTACGTTATAAGATAACTGCAACACACAATGAGCCAGTTTAGTGTAGTAGCCAAAAACACCAAGGGAGAAACTGGGAGACTGAGTTCCTACCTTAGGCACAAAACAAGCTGGGTGACCCTCGGGCCTGTTGCTCTGGTTCAGACCTAAGAAGAAGGGAAGGGCAAAGCACTTCTAAAAATGCTACCAAGAAAATTGCAGGGCCTAGTCCAGGCAGTTGCCAGCAGTCAAGACTGATTCAAAGGCACAAGCAAAACAGACTATAAAAATAGTGGGTGAATCCATTTTCTGGATAGACAGGTTTCTCTAAATATTAGTTGGGACGAATGAATAAGTTTTTAAAACTTCTGTAAAACTTGGAGCCATTTTATTGACCTCAGAGAATTTCAAATTGTATTTGGACTGCCAGGGATTGATACTGTTGTGTGTGTGTGTGTGTGTGTGTGTGTGTATATATATATATATATATATATATATATATATAGTTACTCTTAAACACAACCACAATCACTCCATGCACAACGCAGAAACGTATGACTAGTTTTTTTTCTTTTTCTTCCTTTTTCTTTTCCCCTAATTACTTGCATTGGAATTATTCCTTATACTATTTATGTTGTTTGTATTTGTTGTCATGGATTGCACCAGTGAGGCTAAAACCAATTTCGTTGTATTTATTTTGTACAATGACAATAAAGGCTATACTATATGTTTCTGCACCTGAAGTTTTGAATTTTTTACAGATTTTGGAAGAATCCATTGAGGCGTCTAACAACATACTTTTGTAAAAAGTTGAAGAAATTTGATGAAAATTATATTGAAACACTATGAAATAATGAATTGCCTGTTTTTGAAAATCAAAAAAATAGTCTCTATTTAAGGATAAACAAAAAAAAAATCAGCCTATACTGAGTACATCAGAGACTGCCTGAAGCAGGTTGGCTGCAATGGCTTCCTTGTTAGAGATTCGAAGACATTGTTCAACTAGGTTTGTCCTATTATTTCCACACTTCTGGCTAACATCCAAGCCAGTTAGCAATTTTAGCCCAACCTTTATGTGACAAATTCTTCTTGGCTATATTCCCAGTATGTTAAATTAATTAAGATATTAAAAATTATGGAATTTTCACAAGTGGGACAAGGACAAAAATTATTATAGGGTACTGAAAAAATAAGTATGAACTTAGTACACATTGTTGATCAACACCCCCCCCCCCCCACTCCTCTGGTGTACCTTTGAGTCAGTGTTAATTCCTGGCAACTGTCTGGACTAATCTCTAGTGTTTTCTTGTCAAGGTTTTTGAACTGGTTTGCCTTCTTCCTAGAGCTGAGATTGTTTAACCAGCCCAAAGTCACCTGCCTGGATTCATGCCTAAGGTAGAAGTAGAACTCACAGTCTCCTGGTTTAAAGTCTAGTGCCTTAACCATTATGCCAAACCTGCTCTCCAACTTCAAATTAGTCTCATTTGAATAAAGGAACAAGGTAAAGGATTGCCAAGCAATTTGATCATTTTTTTAAACGTTTCGGTTTATAAATCTCATTATTTTCCTTCACATTAATATTATATTATATAGTTAGCTGAGTTGTATGTATACAATTTTCTGTTAATTTATTTTATATAGTGACATTAAAAAAATAAAATCTATTTTATTTAGCTATGTTATTAATTGGAACTAGAAAACACACAATGCCAGGTTATAAATAGGTCATCGTCGTCATCATCATCATCATCATCATCATCATCATCATCATTTAAGCCATTGTCTGTTC